TTTTTGTATTTTTAGTAGAGATGGGGTTTCACTATGTTGGCCAGGCTGGTCTCGAACTCCTGACCTCAGGTGATCTGCCCGCCTGGGCCTCCTAAAGGGCTGGGATTACAGGCGTGAGCCATTGCACTCGAACTCTCAGTGACATTTCTATTATTAAAGCTAATAAACTTTATTTAAGGTTAGATGCTCAATTAATTTTCAGTAAGTTAATGTAAACCCTCACATACAAACATGATAAAATTGGACATGCCCCTCTCAGGCAGGACCTGGGCTCCACTCTTGCCTTCAGTCAATTTAAGATCACATTTATTTTTATTTTTTATTTTTTTGAGACAAGGTCTCAGTCTGTCACTGAGGCGGTAGGACACTGGCGAGATCGCAGCTCACTGTAGCTTTGACTTCCTAAGCTCAGGTGACCCTCCCACCTTAGCCTTGCAGGTAGCTGGGATTACACAGGTGTATGCCACCACACCCAGCTAATTTTTTTGTATTTTTGTAGAGATGGGGTTTTGCCATGTTGCCCAGGATAGTCTCAAACTGCTGGGCTTAAGTGATCCTCCTGCTTCGGCCTCCCAAAGTGCTGGGATGACAGGCATGAGCCACCACGCCTGGCCATAAGATCACATTTAAAATTGAAAACAGGCATATAATTACACTCTAAGCTTACACTGACACACATGCTGCTGCTAATCTGTGGGTTCATAGAATTGCCCTCTAGCCACACCCTTCATATCACTAGAGGACAGATACAGGCGCAAGGCGCACAAGGTATACTCTGACTTGGCAGGACCAGGAATTCTGTGCTTCCTCAACTTCCTGCAAGACAGTTTTTTTTTTTTTTTCCGAGATGGAGTCTCACTTGGTCACCCAGGCTGGAGTGCAGTGGCGCAATCCTGGCTCAGTGCAAGCTCCACCTCCTAGGTTCAAGCAATTCTCCTGCCTCAGCCTCCTTAGTAGTGTAGCTGGGACTCCAGGTGCATGCCAACACATTGTTTCTGGCTAATTTTTGTATTTTCAGTAGAGATGGGGTTTCACCATGTTGGCCAGGCTGGTCTCAAACTCCTGACTTCAAGTGATCCGCCCGCCTCAGCCTCCCAAAGTGCTGGGATTACAGGCGTGAGCCATTGCGCCTGGCCATGGAAGACAGTTTTTTTACTTGTTTTTTTCATTTGTTTGTTTTTTTTTTTTTTTTGAGACAGAGTTTTGCTCTTGTTGCCCAGGCTGGAGTGCAGGGGTGCGATCTCGGCTCACTGCAACCTCTGCTTCCCTAGTTCAAGCGATTCTCCTGCTTTAGCCTCCCAAGTAGCTGGGATTACAGGCATGTGCCATCACGCCTGGCTAATTTTGTATTTTTAGTAGAGACAGGGTTTCTCCATGTTGGTCAGGCAGGTCTTGAACTCCCACCTCAGGTGATTCGCCCGCCTCGGCCTCCCAAAGTGCTAGGATTACAGGTGTGAGCCACCATGTCTGGCCCGAAGACAGTTTTTTGGCAAGTTTTGAGCATAGAGCCCTGCTATCATCTCTCCTCTAGAAGAACCTGCAGGCCAAGGCCCTGATTTATTTTTAGCAAACTAACATGCCCAAAAACATTTTTTTTGGGTGATTTTACTAATTGAATAGGTAACATTAGCTAATAAGGCTGTTTTTGCTGTTTTAAAATCAGAACTGGTGAGCTCTCGAATGATCTCGGAAGCAACAAGGAAAACAAGTAAAACTCCAATTTTATTTTCAGTGAGATCAGAAGATAAAATTTGCAGACACCAAAATACATGTCAGGGCTTCCCAAAACAGCAGACTGGGTAGAAGCAATGAGGAAGGAAGTGCAATGAATAAGCATGGAAAGCCCTGGGTTGGGAGGGAGCAGATTTCAGAAAGCTCAGGCAGAAAATCACTTCCTGTGTTTGGGAACTGGGGTAAGTAGGGCAGGCTTCTTTGGTTCAGAGAGGCAAAGGAGGTGAGGCTGCAACCGGAATCACACAGGGCAGCCATGTATGCAGGAAGCTGTTTCTGGAAAGCAGAGAAGGAAAGAGCCTTTGACCCACACACATTAATCCACAGAATTTATTTATTTATTTATTTATTTATTTAAGATGAAGTCTCACTCTGTCGCCCAGGCTGGAGTGCAGTGGCACAATCTCAGCTCACTGCAACCTCTGCCTCCCAGGTTCAAGCGATTCTCCTCCCTCAGCCTCCTGAGTAGCTAGAATTACAGGTGCACACCACCACCCCACCCCACCCCCGCCCCCGGCTCATTGTTTTTGTATTTTTAATACAGATGGAATTTTGCCATGTTGGCCAGGCTGGTCTCAAACTCCTGACCTCAAGTGATCCAACTGACTCGGCCTCCCAAAGTGTTGGGATTACAGGCTTGAGCCACTGCGCCTGGCCCGAGGAATTACTATTACTGAGAAAAGTGATCATTTCCATCCATAAAAATAATTAAATGAGGCAACTGCCTTTATAAAGGAATACCACAGAGTAGAGCTTGAAGAAGGGATGGTGAGACAACAGAAAGACATGAAATGTACACTAGAAGAACTCAGGAAAGGAGGGAAAATCACACAGAGAAATGAAGACAACAGGAAAAGGAGCACAATGGGAATAGGCATCTTGGAAAGCAGAGAATGGGAAAAAGAGGACCAAAATGAGAAAGCAATGACAGGAAATGGAAACAAAGGAATAGGTTAAAAGGATTAAAAAGAATGATAGAG